TGATGAGACTTAGCATAGGGTCAAAACCAAGCACAGTCTTCGTTATGTCGATGGTTTCCGTAGACCATCATGGAGTACTGAGAGATGTCTATCCAGGGGAATAACTCATCCGGGGTATGCTGAGACATGAGTAGATGTCCTTCTTTCCGTTGCTCTAATGCTGCCTCCTCTATCGGAGATCAGCCGGTCAACGACAAAGGAGCAGTTGCACCTGTGACCAATCGCATTCTTCAATCTTTCTATCAAGCGGGTGTATTCATGTTCAGCGGGCTTGACGTTTTCCTCACTTGGCTGTCAACGGCTTCTTGTCGGCTTAGATCATTTCGCACATATCTGAGCATTTTCATCGAGGTTATGATTACTAGTCGACAACAAGCTTGCTGTGGGGATGTCTATCTGACCGGGAGTTCTCCACCGTACTATTGAGTTATGTTGACAACTTTCAAGAACGAGTGGGATTGTCCTGGACTAAGTGATTATGTGGAACGTCGTGGTTTGAGCTGTCGAATCACGGTTTTCTCGTCGTGGTTGACTTGCGCTTCATCCAATACGAACGCCTCCCGCCACCTAGTGCTATTAAACCGCATCTAGCCCTGAAAGTGTACGTTTCCGAATGATCAAGACTTCAGTAGTCTGCCACAACCAGGCCTTCGACATTGATTCTGTCCTCAGCAAAGCTTCCGGAGTGTAGCCTTCCATGTCCTCCTATCTGCCCCTCCATGCCTCCTGCCTGCCCTCATGCCTACCCCCTAAAGCCCTACCTCCTGCCCTGGGCTTTGAGAATGACTTCACCTGAGCGCCACTCTGGCAACTGATCCGCGAAGGGCCTCCAAAGGTCGACTGATCCGCCAAGAGATACATCGTATTGATTTTGCGCCCGAGCTTTGGTGGTGTCAATATATGTACTTTCCTCGCTGCGCCTCAGAAGCTACGTTCCGGATATAAGAATTACTTAGAATACTCTTCGTCTGACCAGAGAGCTGGCAGAGAGTGCTTCAGGACAGATGCGTAAAGGAGTTGACGTAAGCCTTCACCCCTTCAACCAACTTCTCGGTCTCATCTATTGGCAGGCGCGCGTCAGCAACTGCTGCCGATAGATATTCAATGAAGCGTCCAAAATAGTATCCCTGGGTACTATCAGGCTGTGGCCCAGATACTCGGGGTTGCAAGAATTTTTGGTTGGCCAGTTGTTGAAGGCTCCCAATCTCGTTCTGTTTTGACTCCGAGTCTGACATGCGATGTCGATAGAACCAAAGTCCCACATGATGCAGTTTTCGTTACTCGGCGCAGGTAAGCCAAAATTCTTGACAGCGCGATCAGCAAGCTGCGCCATCTTCCATTGGTATGTCATCATATTTGCTATGTCCAAGTTGCAGCCACCCAGTCTGATTCCCGCGGCCATATCCCGCACGATGCCATACGTTAACGGACCGTATCCACTGTCGCTGTTGGGACAGGTCTTGGAGAAGATCTGGGCCATTCGAACAACACGTTCGTGACATTCAGAGCATGTTACTTTGAAGAGATTCTGTTTCTCCAAGTCCTCCTCCGTGGGTATGTGGGGGCCGTTCGGACACTTGATTGCCATCAGACCTTCAAGAGCCGCGGCTTCTGGCAATGCTTTAGGGGGGAGAGCGAGGTAGATGCCATATTGATTTCTGCGAGATTCTTGCAACTGAATGTTATGGGAGCAGATTTGAGTGAGACTCAACCGGAACCATTGGGAGCTGAAGTTCTTAGTTTTATTCCTCTAGCACCGGGAGTCTCCGAATATCAAACTTTGTGAGTTGCTGGGAAGCAAACCTGGAGTTCACAGGGGTTATCTTGTTCTGAGGGAAATTCTAGGCCTAGGACCCAAACACGTGGATTCGCAAATTCGAAGCCGGAGGAAGTTATCACCGACCTGAGGACCTTGCTATACTTTTTTTAAGTTCAGTATGAGAGCTCATCATCAAACTAAAACATGAAGTTGCCCATCATGGTGCTTGGATTATCTATATGGACGCTTCAAACTCTTACAAGGTTGCGTCCATGTTGGTACTGACCGAGCAGATGTGGCGTTGGGAGAACTGATTTTTATCATGATTTCGTCGCCTAGTAAACGGGAAGAAAAGACTTGACTGCAAGATATCGGAAACACTCAAGCGATATCCACCTGAAGTTGACCTTGTCGGCGAGGTTGAAAAGAGGTCATCATGACTTGTTGGTAGATGACTCTTAATTGATTACACACGTTAAGCGAATGACTATGGGGTAACGGCATTGGAATCCTTGCAGAGGTCTTATCAGCTTATCGCTCATGGCCTGTGCTTCGAGGTCATGTGCCCGAAGGCGTGACCAAAGTTTCTCCCGCTAGCCGAATCGCGAATGGATTCAGCCGAAAGATTCCTGCCAGCGACCTCACCCGAGCTGTCTCCAGCAACACATCCCCATTGCCAGCTCAGCCCATCATGAACTCCCTCCGCATCGCGCGTGCGGCTCTCCGAGCTCGCCCTGCTGCCATCCGCGCTCCCCTCCAGCGCCGAACCTATGCGGACGCCGTCCCCGACAAGGCAAGCACCGGTGCAGCCTCCGAACCGACCCCGAGCGCCCGCTGACAATTTGCAGATCAAGCTGAGCTTGTCCCTCCCTCACCAGGTACGACCCCGATGTTCTCCGAGATGAATTGAGCCGCGGCCGAGTCGACGACAAACGATTGCATGCTGCATGCGCCGGAGGAAGCCAATTGAAGGGTTCGGAGCTAATTGCCGCAATCGCAGTCCATCTACAGCTCCAAGGATGTCGTCCAGGTCAACATCCCCGCCGACTCTGGTGAGATGGGTGTTCTCGCCAACCACGTTCCCTCCATCGAGCAGCTGAAGCCCGGTCTGGTCGAGGTCGTTGAGGAGAGCGGTCCCAGCAAGCAGTTCTTCCGTACGTGCACCAATCGCAAAGCCAGGCTTGCAAGGGATGTCGAATTGAAGAAACTGACGGCTATGTAGTCTCCGGTGGATTCGCCGTTGTCCAGCCCAACTCCGTCCTCAGCATCAACGCCACTGAGGGCTACCCCATTGAGGACTTCAGCGCTGAGGCTGTCAAGTCCCAGATCGCCGAGGCCCAGAAGGTTGCCAACGGCAGCGGCAGCGAGCAGGACATTGCTGAGGCCAAGATCGAGTTGGAGGTGAGTAGCTGCCGGACGGCTATGCAGGCCACACGCTGATTGACCCCACAGGTCCTCGAGAGCCTCCAGGCTGCCCTGAAATAGAGAGTGTAAAAGAGGTCGTCGGACAAATGACGTTGTACATCAAAGACTCGGATTCCCTAACTCATCTAACATCGCATAATTGAATCCACGTGCGACGTTCCTGAGCACCTGCTTGTAGTTCGAACCTGTGCGTGCCGTGCTTTCTGCGTTTGCGCCATGCCTGAACGGCCCTTCCGTCTTATTTCGGGCCCAGGGGTCGAGCTTGCCTAGGGATATGTCACCGATGCCCCTCACTCTTGCCCCAGGTATGGGGGCTTCTGCACCAGCTCCAACCTCCATAAATATCCTCCCTGACCTCCTACGAGGCAAACCTTTCTCCTAACTAATGTTCCGTATCTTTCATCCCGGGGCATCGTTTGTCAACCCCCAACGATCCATCCGGTCAAGTACTGTTTTACACTTATCCCAGCATCATACAGCCATACACAATCACTTGCCACTGTCTTCAGGCATGGATTATCCTTTCGTTGCCAATTATCGAGCGCCTCGATCCGACGTCACCATCTACCAGTCTGATGGAGAAGGAGACGACATCCCACAGGGACTCGTGTCGCAGAGACGACTCAAGTTTGCGAAGCCGACTCCCCCTCGCTTTGCGAAGCGGAGGCCAACAACACCCGGCAGTATAGAACGCGACGCTACTCGGTTCGGTTAGGGTCAACGAGCCGAGAAGATCTTCGCCATACCAGCGACCCGCAACACAATGGTCGAGGAGTCCAAGGCTCCATCTCAAGATCATTCGTTCCCTGGCTAGGGCCCTGAGGGTGAGGGCTGGGGCCGGCCCAGGATCTTCAGAACACCATTGCTGCGCCCGCAGCAGTCAGCCTACCTGACACCTCCCAGGAACAAGGACTTGGATCCAACGCAGTTGCGTCAGACAGCATCGACAGGACGCCTCCGGTCAAAAACCCGGGGCCAACAGGACCAACTTGCTGAGGATGTTGCCTCTCTGCAGTCACTAAGCCTCAAGCCGCGTCGTCTCTTCTCGAACAACTCTGCGTCTTCGTATCATTCCCAGGAATCCGAGCTGACTACCTCCACAATCCGTCTGCGTCACGCTCGTGACATCTTTGAAGAGTTTGGAATCTCACGACCTTCCGGCTGGCTTTCTGACGACGACGAAGAGGATTTCTCACGCCACCAGGATGGTACCAACAGCACTCCCAGGCATGTCGGCAACATCTGTCACTCGTGCGGGGCGGAAGTAACGACCCGGACGTTCTGTGCCACATGTGGCCATTCGGTTTGCCCCCAGTGTTCCAGCGAAATCCCTGATGACGAGGATGATCATCGACGCACGGAGAGCTCGGGACAAACAGTCATAACCTCCCAGCAGCACGCTTTCAACGTGATTGAGGAGGAATTACGGTCTTCCTCCCACCAGGACACCACTCATTCGTCCAAAACAGCGCAAAATGCTACAGTCGCTTCGCAAGCATTGAAAGACAACCCCTTCATTGTTGCGGACAAGATGACAAAGGTCGTCACTGCCGAGCCCCGACTCACTGATGCCACTGCTCGCGGAGAGCATCAGTCTCGATTTTCAGACTGTGTTCCGCAGCAAAATGACCTTTCCACGACTGCTGGAACTCACGGAGACTGCGGCAATCCTAGGTGCAACGCCATACATGCGGGCCACCATAGCAAGCGTCACAGCATTGCATGCATTGTGGGCCAACAGGCAACGACAGATGCTACTGACGATCTTCAGTCTCATGCTCCGCTGGATGATCCTGTTCAGCGCAAAATTGACAATATGTACCATCACGCCGACGATCTGAAGCGAACACAGCATATCATGGAGCATCTCGCTGCAGGATCCGCTGGGCCAGGGCAGCACAGCTCTAGCCAAGTCACGGACAGAACATCCAGTGTAGTGGACGTCGACAGACTTCTGGCCAAACCCGGTATCGACACGGTCAACCGCGGCAGGCTAATCAGTTTCGACACAGCGGTTGCCGCAGAAAAGAAGAGCAATCGGGCTCTCGAGCTTCGCGAGTGGGAGAGGTCTCAGTCGTTTGATGTTGACCCGATCAAGAGAAGAGCCTCGGATACCCCGCCAAGTCCGGATACTAGACTATCCAATCCTCCAGAATGGCTGAGTCCAAATCGAGGATCCATCACGAGCCAACGAGTCGTGACAGAGGCCAAGAGCACACCCCAAATGAGGTCTTCGATTGATCAGGTTGGCTCGGCCACAACTGAGTCAACAGTCGAGTGGCCGAAGCTGAAGCGAGTGACGAAGGTGACGAAGGAGACCGTGGAGGAAAAGCCAAAGACGACGCTGCCGTGGATGCAAAGGCCCTTGCGCCGAGTCCAGAAAGAGGAAAACATATCCCAGCAAGCTCAAACACAACAGTCGACGGAAGCCGGGAATTGGAGATCTCAGCTTCGAAAGGTCGAGGACTCGCACCATGGCGGCCGACAGCGAGCTGAGACTTGCAGCTCGTGTCACGATGAAACAAGCTTACCATCGCGTTCCTCTGTTGGCGAGGTTGCCGACGTTGCTACCGACGCAACAAAAGAAGAGAACCAGTCTCCGGCGCCTCTGAGGTCGAAACGTGTTGAGGAGGTTCAAGCCTCGATCTCCCACAAGTCAAGCTCCAGAACGTCAACAACAGTCGAGTCAGAGACCAGCAGTCAGGTCTCACACACAGTAAAGGAAACCCACTCCGCCTCGGGTTCCCACGTTGTCGAAGAAAACAACGAGGCGAGCATTACCAACGGCTTCGAACATCGCGGACAGTCGAACGAGATTGAGGTTCTCAGCCCAGCACCTGTGATTTCATCCGAACACACTTGCACCTGGAAGGAGCACTACTTGAGACTGACGTCAGAAGTGCGGCAGTTGAAGGCTGAGATTATGTCCAGAGAGAGGCTTGGATCGTCTGGCGTGGACGTGGGGGTGAACGTCGGGCAGGGTGACGATGAGCTGGGCGTCGAGGGTCTTACCATTGTTATGCATCTGAAGGGGAAGGATGATCTGGTCATCAATACAGACTTGACCAGGGCTTCTTCTGACGTTTGAAGACCGGTGAGGTGGATGAATACTGCCGAGTTGCATAGAGAATGTGTATGGCACAAGGAGCAGGATTACGGGATTATGATAGCAGCATGAATTACAGAATGCATGAGTTGAAGCAAGCGCCTACTTTTCCGTGCTGTAGTGACCACTTTTTCTGTAGGCTCATGTACACGCATATTCCTGTCGTTAGTGGCGTCGTCGTCGTCGTGTTTTGCGAAGGCATCAGCTATTGTACCGCACTATGAAGTCCCACATGGCTGCATGTCACAGACAGCGCAAGCACTCATGTTCAACTGAAGAAAATAACTTTAATGTCATCATACCAAAATGCTGCCTGCACGCCGGGTTCATCTACATATCATGTCGAATAATCTAGTCTTCTCAACTCGCCTGGCCTGATGGAGGGCCCCAACATGGCAGGTGAGAAATGCAAGTGCCTTCGGTCTATAGGGTATCAAAGAATGCCCCCCAAGTCTACCCTACCCATAACCAACCACCATTTGCTGACCAAGCCCTGGCTGGCGAAAACGGTCTGCCATCAGTGCCCTCGGGGAACATGATGCACCGTCTGGGGGATGCATCTTCTGGAGAGGCGCGGCGTCTTCTCCAGATACGTTTGTCTGTGTTGGAACGGCTCACAATGCCGAGACGGTATCCGTGGCGTCGGCGCCGGTTGCCTTTGCGGACGCAACGTCACCGGCGATGGCAACCTTCATGGGCCTGCCCTGAGCCTTCTCCGAGAGGCTAATGTACTCCTGCGTCATCAGCTCCTGGGTCTTGCGGGTGAGCTCGTCGACGTCCGCGGAGGTCAGGCCGGTGGTGGAGATCGGGTCCAGGACTGCGGGGAGGATCGAGTCAGCATACGTCACTTTATATGTTTGAGGTGGTCTTTGGACGACCAGATGACTTACCCTTGACAGGGATCTTTCCAGAGTTGAAGACGAGGCCCTTGAGCCAGAGAACGTGGCTATAGTTCGCAGCAACGACGGGGACAATGGGCACGCCGGCCTGAACAGCCAGATGGAATGCGCCCTTCTTGAAGGGCAGCAGGACGGGATCCTTTGCGTAGCTTCGGGTGCCCTCCGGGAACAAGTATACGCTCTGCTTCCTCTTGCGGATCTCGTCAGCCGCGCCAGACATGGCTTCCCTCGCGTCCTTTGTGTTCTTGCGGTCGATGAAGATGGAGCCACTGAGGGTCATGAACCAGCCCAGGATGGGAGTCTTCTTGAGGGAGGCCTTGGCGGTGACGCTGCAGTACTTGGGGAACATGGCGCCCAGCATGAGAACATCGAGCTCGGTCTGGTGGTTGCCGACGAAGACGGCAGGGCGCGTGTTGCCGAGAATGTCCTTAGGGTCGTCGAGCTCGAAGGTCACTCCGGTGGTGAGTGCCATGAGGTAGTGGAAGGCTCTGGCGGTGGTCCATTGTGCGATGCCCGGGTTGCCGACGATGCGCAGGAAAATGGAGGCGAAGACGCCGTAGAGTGCGGCTACGACGAGAGAGATGTAGGAAGCGAGGACGCGGGCGCCGAAGGCGGCCTTGGGAACGACGAAGGACAGCATGTAGAGGGCGACGACGAGGGCGGCATAACCCTTCAAGAAGGAGAAGATGTAGCCCAGGAGAGCCGACATGGCTGCTGGCGGGAGCTGGGATTCTTCTTGGGAGGCTTGGTAGGTGCGGGCGGCGGGAAACGGGCGGCTGCTGGCGTAAAAAGAGACAGGCGCGCGGAAGAGGACAGGCCTGGGAAAGTGTGAAAGTCGGGATGGCGGGGCGTTAAGCTTCTTTGGGCGCGCGTCTCATGGGGTTGAGATGGTTGAGGAGCTTTCGAGCGCGGGGTTGAGGCCGAGGAACGAAGGATCGTCACAAGGGCGGAACTCGGGGGAGAGTTGAAGGTAGGAGACAGCACGTGTCAGGTAGAGCAAGAGAGAGAGTAGAGGTGAGGAAGAGGCACTGAAGGCTACAGCTTCCACAGACACATGTTACGAGGACACACACAATGTGGTTGTATGGAGGAGTGCGGATGTCTCAAGGGGTGGGAGGAGGTTAAAGGAGGACTCATACAATGACGATGTAAGGGAACGAACGGGGATACGTTGGTGGGAATGCGGCGCCGGTGCAAGATGCGGTACAGATACAGGCGAAGAGAGTGGAAACCAAAGCCAAGTGGCGGATGCACACCGCAAGCTCTTCCATTGGAGAGAAGGACCTCATGGGCCGTGGCCCTGGTTGATGGTCATGGGTGCTGGGGGTCGCACTCGCAGGGTCGAGGTCAGAAAGTGAACACGCAGTGGGGTTCTCTGGCTGCTTCTTTTCCCAAGAGATTATTTTTTTGGTGGGATGACTTTAACTCCCCTGGGGAGGCGCCCCTCCAGTCGTTGAGGAGGTGTCTGTGATTGGCCAAGATCCCGCCCCCACAACAACGGCGGGGTCTGCGGTGACGGGTACGTACCTACCTGGTGTACCATAACTGAAGCCTGTTCATCACTTGGGGGGTCAGCACTGAGCAGTCGTCATGCTGCCGCTGCTGCTTCCCGCGAATATGCATGACTGACAGTCTTTGCTGTGGCTAGGCGAGTGCAGTTGTCGTTGGGGAAAGAACGGGATGAAAAGGGAACACTAGTTTCCATATTCATAGCTCATCCACCTCAAGACCGTTGCTGCCGCCGCCCTTTGCTCAGCTGAGGGAGAGCGCGCTAGACCTTGACTTGCTGCCGGCAAGCCACTAGCACAAGTCATCGTCCGGTCTAGGTGCGGATCGCAAGTCAGAAGACGGACGAGCGGACGAGCGGACAAACTGATAGCAAGAGAGGGGCGGTTAGGCGCGGACTGACATCAGATCTTTGGACAGTGGGTTCTGTGGCAGTTGAGTTCCGGAGGCGAGGCTGGAAAAGGTTGGGGAAGGGGAGAGACCGGACGGCACGGAACAGAGAGAATGCAATCAAGGTCCCGTCAGCTCCCCGATGCCATTGTGTCGTACACTAGGACAAAAGATGGTGGGGCATGACTTTCCCGTGTCTCCTTCGTCAGTGCCTCTTTGCGAAAAGCATGTGGCAGGCCTAGCCAGCTTTTTAGTGGCATGTCTCGGAGCCGTGCTCGATGATGGCCGGGGTGCTCGCCTGCCCCACGAAAGATGCAGCTCTATTCCACAGTCTCAACCTCGCCGTTTTATTTTATTCTGATGGCATCTGTGAACCTCATTGACACATGTAAAACTGCTAGGGTACTTTCGCAGGTGCGTTACGCAGTACGTTATCATTCACGAGCCCAGGTACGGCAGGTAGCGGCAGGAACCCCACAAGGTGCTATCGATATCCGACGCCTTATCGATAGTGATGACTAAGACATCCCGGCGCGTATTGCCTGGGGTAAGTACTCGGCGCCGGTAACTGTCGCCCGACGGCGACGAGCTTCAACATCGATCGCACGACAGTCGTGAAGTGCATCACGAACCTGCAGTGGCCCCGTTCGAAATTCTCCATTCTGCCATACATCAAGACTACACCTACCGAGAGCGAAAGGATAAGTCCACCTTTAGCGCCTATCGATTGGCGCATCCTCTTACCACCGTATAATGAGCTCGACCCGATAAGACATCGACGATGCCATCCCGCCGAGTACAACCGGACCTCTCCGTTCGCCTGCCGACAGGCCCCACGCAACCCGAACTTCCTCCTATTTCCGCGCTGTTTCTCATCGACTTTGACGTCAAAGCTGGATACACAATCGTATGGAAACAAGCGGCTCCCGGAATCGAGCTTGAGGGACTAGTTGAATACAAGAGCTTGCCTTCGGGTCTACACACTGTTCCCGACGACTTGATCTACTTCGTTCACGAGGGCGCCCATGCCGGCCTCAGTGCATTCATCAACACGCCATGCGACGAGGAGGAGGCGCGCCATGCGCGCATGATTGCCGTGGGAGTCTTGGTGCCTCTGAGTTATGGTCGGCTTGGCCGGGCGTGGAGACATGCCGAGGGCCTGAAGGACATTGCAGCGTGAGTGCGCATCTACGCTATGCATGGCTCATCTTGCTAAATTTGAACAGAAAACTCGCCGAGAATCGCAAGAATACGGCAATACTCGATGAATACTGGAAGAACAATCGGGATAAAGAGGACGCCGATCAGGAACGCCCCCCAATGGAGTCGCCTTCTGTCAGCTTCAGTGCCCAAGCTACCCAGCCGAAGAAGACGAGCCATAACAGGAACCGCTCCGCGTCCGATGGGGCTGCGCTTGTGCATCCCGGCCATCGGCTGTCCCCGTACCATCCGGCCTGGAGTTTGACAGACTTGCTGGACACTTTTGGTCCCCTAATCTTCCCCATACATCGGGCAGCTTTGCTTCGGAAGCGCATCTTGATATCCTGTCACGCGCCAGTGCGTGAAATCTGCAACTTTGGTAAGTTCAGACCGGATTCCCGAAACTTAAAGTAGCTCACACAATTCCAGTGTACAACATTTCGGTTCTCTCAAACATCCCCCAGACGGTCGCGGAGCTATTAGCACCATCATCCTCGTCTCAACGTCTGAGGCCCCTCTTCACTATCGGCGTGCATGACATCCCCTTCCTCGTCGAAGACTTTGAAGCTTCAAAACGAAAGAAGGCTGACAGCAATGATGCCGTGCCAGACGAGGCCGGGAGCGGTTGGATTGCTTGCACTACTGACAGTATTCTGGCCATGAAGGATACTCTCTGGGACATGCTCATCACCATGCCTCCCCCGTACTCACCTAATGCGAAGGACAAGGTCTGGCCGACGGTCGAGTGCCCTCGTGGTGTGCCCGTCAAGGCAACACAGCGAGATCTGCGGCGATTCCGTGCTCTGAAGAGTGGCCTTACCCGGCTCACGGCCACAACACCTAGACCAAGGACGGCTGAGAGCCCACGCTCTGAAAATTCGACCAGCTTCAAGCTCACCACTGGTGGTTTTCCTGCGTCGAATCTCGAGTCTGACGAAGCCCTGGACAAGATTGTGGAGCCATTGAGTTGGTCTGCGCTGGCATACAATGGCTTCATGTGGTGGGCCAGTGCCGGAGAACAGGCGCGGAGCGAGGAACAGGAAGAGTCTGCCCGTGATGCCGCCCTGCTGGCAGATCTCGGTCTGATGCCTCACACCCCGAGCATGACGATGCCCACCCCAAAACAGCGAACAGCATCCGGTGGTATGAGGGATTCGATCGGATCCGTGGCATCACGGCAGTCTGTCGGGCCGGATGACGACGAGGCCCGAACCGAGCTCGCCGTCATCGCATATTTCCACCGCCTCACAGCGCAGATGCTTTCCGTTATGGCGGACGTCGTAGAGAGCTCCGATGACCGCTACGAAGACGACGACGATGATGAGCAAGAGGCCGAGGACACGCCTCTTCGATCAGACAGCGAGGCGGGCCTGCGCTCGGTCCGCGTGGAAAGCCATGCTATCGAGAGCATGGGTCTCGATGTCTGGAATGCACACGATGCCGAGTTCGTCAAAGAGCTAATGGCGAAGTACTTTGACCGCAAGCCTTACATCGAGGGCAAGGGTGTTGAGGTGTGCGGAGTGCGCGTTTGCTAAGCGATGCTCATTCGTGGCGGTGGTTGTTTAGTCTCAAGAGGTGGATATTCGGAGCAATGACTAGACTTGTTGAGTCTGGGGAGTGTATACTTGAACATGTGGGGCTACGCTGTGCTTCTTTGACGCGCTCAATCATCGTGGCATATTTGTTTGTTTTTAAGGGTTGTTTCGGCGTTGGGCTGCTTTGTTTTTCAAGAACAAGCGTGAGGATATTGCGGTAAAGAAGATGGGCCACGCAAGCCTAGGAGAAAAACTTGAGGGATTGCTAATGTACTAAAGAGTCACACGCAAAGTCGGTTCTCATACAGTCTGCGCTTGTCATGTTGCATCACCAATGTGTTGTTCATACATTTATATCAATCAACGAATGCTCTGCACCAAGACATCTGTTCATAGCATGAAATGGCAGATTGCCAATCCTGCATTGCCTTCCATCGCATGTCTCCTGTGTCGTTGTCGAACCGACCAGGGGCTATGGAGTGACTGATAGGGCTGACCTGGGTCACCCAGGTAAGGGGCGCACAGGTTGAAATGATGGTCAAAAAGGAGGGGTGAGGGCCAGTTGCAGAACACCAGGCGGTGACGATATGCTGTACCCGGGGGTCCAAGCGGCGCAGGCTAACGCTAGACCCCCTACTCACGTAGGGGGCGAAAAAACAGGGTTTCCACGTAAAAAAGGGGGTTTCCACCTAGATCACTAAAAGTAGCATTTTTTAGTATTAACCCACTAAATTAATAACTTTTTATAATGCGATTTTCAGCCTCAACTACATCATATAGCAATAAAAGTAGTATTATTATATTACTCTAAAGTAAGGCTATCTAGCTATATATATATAATATCTATATATCTAATATAAATATTAATAAGCTATAGATAATAACTAAATTATTACTTTTTATATTATTAATAATATAATTCTATTTCTTTACTACTTATATTAATAGAAACATTATTAAAATGTTACCCTTTATAATACTATAAGTATAGAAGTATACTAAGCCCTCTTATATAATAAAGATAGATACTTAGTATAACGCTAATATAGCTAGTAGGGCTAGCGCTAGTAATATTAGTAACTTAAGCTTACTAGTATTAACACTATTATTACTAATACCAAAGTTATTAATTAAATTAACGCTTAAAGTAATACTATTACTATCTTCCTTAATAAGGTTATTAATATTATTATAGACCTCTAAGTTACTATTATTAATATAATACCCTCTTAAAGCTAATAAATCTTTAACGGTAAAATAGCTAAGAAGCCTTATATAATACTTAATAAAATATTAACTCTCTTTTGGTAATAGCATAAAGTTAAAATTAATCTACTACTTAAGCTTAAGTACTTTATACTATTATAAATCTTTTAAGTTAAAGATAATATAGTTATCAAATCTCTTAATATATTTTAACTATAATATAAAGTTTAACTTTTTTATATACCTATTAATTAATTAGTATTTATTAGTATTATACTCTACTAATAATACCTTCTCTTACTATTAAGCCTCTTTTTTTATAGTAATATATTACTATTTAAGCTTCTTCTTAGAAGCCTTAATTACTTACCTCTTATAATACTCTTTAATCTCTATAAATAATATACTAATAATAAATAAATAAGCTAGTTTAATACCTTACTAAATCTATTACTTATATTATTATATCTTTATATATATATTCTAATTAATAATATACTCTTAGACGTCTCTTATAGTATAAGACGTCTCTTATAGTATAGATTACCCTTATTAATTATAGCTTTACTTACTTTATAACCCCTTTAAGTAGGAGAGCTTGACTTAGTAGTATAATATTATTTAATTATATCTACTTATAGTATAGCCCTCTTAAACCTATTATTACTTAGTAAGTAGTAAAATAGGTATCTAGATATATTAATTTAAGCTAACTGTATAACTATATTTAACTAATTAAGAGAGGATTATATTATCTCTAATTAGCTAGATACCTAACTTTTTAAACCTTATTACAATATTAGCTAAAGTAAATATAGTATTTATTATCTATCAAAGCCTACCAATAAAGTCTCCTTAAGCAAAAATAAAGTTACTACTTTATATAAACTCTTATGATACTATCTAATAAGCCTTCTTAAATAGCTGGAAGACCTCTATATCTATAAGTTAAAGTAGATATATAGTATAAAAGGGAAAAAAACTAATAATAATAATGAAATTAATATAATATTCTATAAGATCTAAGCTAATATAACTAAAGAAACTATTAAGAAGGAGTAAATAATATAGCTTTATCCTACATTTTTCTTAGAGAATATCTCTATATAACTTAGTATAAATATTTAGTATTATACTATATATCCTAAGCTAATTAAAGCAGCCTCTATAAGAGGCTAGCCTTTAGTTTGTTCAACTTAGGAGTGCCTTAATTATAGTAATTTAAGCTAAAAAAAGGAATTTTCTAAGATACTCCCTATATAGAAGAAAAACAGATATAAGGCGCCTATTAAGTAAACATAGTCGCTAGGGGTAAAATTCCTAGTAATCTATAGTATTACCTAAATATAATAAGTAAGCGTAGCCTATAATATATACCCCCCCTCTAGCCTTTATATAAGTATAGATTTAATATAAGCTAAAAGCAGTTAGTATAAGCTAAAAATAAGCTTAGAACTTTATTAATTTAAACTACTAACTATACTACACCCTATAAGTAAATAATATAATAATATAATTTTTTATACCTAGTTTACTTTTAGTTTTTTCTTCTCTTATTAACCTATATAGTAGTAAGTTACTTAATCTTTTATATTATTATTCAACTAACCTATTATTATTATAACTACAGTTTTAGTATACGTTTAGTCTATTTATCCTATAAGTTAGTTAGATCTAAATCCTTATTAATTACTGACTTATATAGATCTAGCTACTACTTACTTAGACTCTATAAATGGCGCCTCTTATATATTATTACCTACTTTTTTCCTATTATTTCACTACAATTAACTTTATATAGTTTACTCTCCCTAACTCTAATAAGGAGATAAAGTCTCCTCTAGTTAACTATAAGAGCCTACCTTCTAACTATATTAAGTTTACTAGCTTCTCTAATAGTAAGAAGCTTATCCTTAAGGACTTTAACTTCTAGGATAACCTCCTCTATAACCTTATTTAGTCCTTTCTTACTTACTTTATTATATAGAAGCTTACTTTTATATACCTTCTTATTATTTATCTATTACCTTTTTAATATTCTATTAAGGCCCCTATAAGCGCTAGCTTATATTTAGTAATATCCCCTTAGATAAAACCTAAGGATCTACTTATATAATCTTTTGCTTAAAGTATATATCTACTATAGCTAAAGCTAAGAGGCTTAGTAATATTATAGCTTACCATAATATCCTTAAGTGAAGTATATTAACTTATTGCTTTTTAGTTATTATAGAAGCTAACTATTCTTTAGGTAATATTACCTACTATATCTATTCTAATAAAGCTATTAAGTCTACTTATATTAATATAAATACTACTCTCTTATTATTTTAATCCTATAAGGCTAATAATTTACTAGAGTAATAAAGGTATAATCTATTACTATAAGGAGTTTACCTCTCTTAGCTATAACTATCTTATATATTATAGTATTAATAAGTAAGCTTTAATAAGTCCTTATTCTACTACTACTTTAATGTAAGTATTAACTGTTAACACAGGTATAAGCGTATTCAGGGGCGTGGTATATACGCCTATATAGTATAGGGTTATAGATGGGCTTATGTTATGATGAAATGTAATAATCCTAAGCATTTATAGGCATTTAATCGTATATAGAATAATAAAGGAAGTGATGTATTGTGATGACTCTTGTTGTTGTTGTTTTCAGGTTGCATTCTCTAGTAGGCAAAAGTGAGGGGAAAGATAATCTGAAACGTAACCTACTAAACTGCTAATTACATAAGGTGCTTACGTA